CCGGGACTGTGGGAACGACAGGATAAAATGGTGAGCGTCGCGACCTCGGCCTGGACCCACCGACGCTCCCGGCTTCCCGAGGCGCCACCACTCACCCGCCCCGACTGCCCCATGCCGCCCTCTCCTCCACGAGGTCGCCTTTGCCGGTCACTTCCGGCGCTGCGAAGCTCACTTCCGGCGTCTGCTCCGGTGACCTCACACCAGGCATGCGCAGTAAGTAGCCTCGGGGAGGGAGGGTGGAATTTAGTCGAGGCGTTGCTATGGAGACACCGGGTGCCTGTTTCTACAGAAACCAGGGCGGGGCTGCGCATTCTGAGGCGTCAGAGACATAGATCCACCGGTTCGAATCCCGCCTCGGCCCATTTGCGCCAGCGTTGTCATCGTGGCAATTTTCTCCATTCCGAGGCTCCGCATATGTTCTAAATTGAGGATGATACTCTGTTCCCTGACCTGCGGGATTAAGAGGTTATGTATATACTGTGCTTGCCAGCAGCACCAGCCCGGGGAAGGAGTAAGGAGAACAGAGGGCCTGCGGCAGACATTCCTTTCCATCCCCCGGCTGAGGGCCAGCCATCTTCCCTCAGGACGCTCCCTGCAGGTGGGCTGGGGGGTGGAAACTCCACCTCACCTCTGGAAACTCTGGGTAAGGCCAGCCAGCCTCTGTGAGTAATTTGCCTCCTTCCGCTTTCCGCTTTCCGTTGAGAGCCTCAGTCTCAGCCTCAGGGCTCTGGCTTCTTCCCCAAAACCTGTGGTGGAGGGGAGGGTCCCCTCCCATCGGCTTCCCCCACCCACTCCCCAGCCCTAATTCCGTCTCCTTTCTCCAAATTCTGCCTCCCCTCCGTCTCTAGCTGCCTGACCTCCCAACTTTGTCCAAATGTCATCAGTTGTCTCTCTCTCTCTCTTTTTTCCTTCTGATTTTGCAGTACTGAAGATTGAACCCAGGGCCTTCACACTGACCTACATCCCTAGACTTTTTTTTTTAAATTGTAGTTTTTACTTTGACACAGGGTCTCTCTAAGTCACTACATTGCCCTGGCTGGGCTGGAACTTGCGATCCTCCTGCCTCAGCCTCCAGTGTGCTGAGGTCCCAAGCTTGCACCACCTCACCCAGCTATCCATGATCTCTTTCACCATCGATAAATTTCCATCTTCCTCCTGTCCCTGTTCCCATCCCCGTTTTTTCACTGCCTCCTGATGTCTTTCCCCGCCACCTCCGCAGGCCTCTCCCTCCCTCGCCTCTCTGTGGTGTCTTCTCCCGGCTGCCAGTGCGGAGCCGGAGGGGGCTGCGGAGGAGGGGGAGCTTGTGGGGGCCCCAGCCTAGGCCGGCAGCCCAGCCTGGCAGCCTCTCTCAGTGCCGGACAACCATTTCCTCTCTCAGCCCTGGAGTCCACTCGGGTTACTGTGGAGCTGAGCTCGGCAGGAAGCAGGAAAGGAGACCACAACGAGGGTCTGCTAGCCCCGGGGCTGGGGTCGGGGTGGTGAGTCTCGCTGAGTTAAATGCAGGCTTATTTCTTCTTGTTCTGTGTGTGCTTTGACTTATGCAAAGTGTGACTGTGTGTGGGGGAGATGAACGGAAACTCCTAGCGCGGTGGCAGGGCCGCCTGGGGTCGCTGTGTGCCTGCTTGCTGTCTCTGTGCTTGCCCTCAGCCCGTCAGGGAGGCCCTTTTAAGTTGTGGTCTTCCCCCTGTAAGTTGTGCTGAATATGTGACCGTATCCATTTTTTGCCATGCTGGGGCTTGAACCCAGGGGCTCTGCACTGAGCTACATCCCCGGCCATTTTTTCATTTTGAGACAGTCTCTCCCTTAAGTTGCTAAGTTGCCCAGGCTGGGCTCAGACTTGCAATCCTCCTGCCTCAGCCTCCCAAGTAGCTAGAACTGTAGGCATGCACCACCGTGCCCAGAAATGTATGGCTGTTTTTTGAACACACAATTATTGCCTTTTTTTTTTTTTTTTTTTTTGTCCTTTGAGCTGGGGCTCTAACCCAGGGCCTTGGGCATGTTAGACAAGTACCCTACCACTAAGCCACACCTCAGTCCTCCTGTTCCATCTTTAGATTAGGTGTACGTGTGCCAGGCACGGATTCCTATCTTAGCACTGTTGGATGTTAGCACACACAAGTGTGAGTCTTTTTTTTTTTTCTTTTTGGTACTGGCGATCCAACTTGGGACCTTGTGCTTGCAAGGCAGGCGGTGGAACCACTGAGCTAAATGCCCAGCTCCGAGTGTGTGCTTTGTTATGCATGCACTTGTGTGAAACTATTATGGAGCCCAGCTGCCGGGGTTGAATCTCACTGTGGCTACTTTCTGGCTGCCTGAGCCCAGGCAAGTGATCTCACCTTTTCTTAAGTTTTCTCTCTCTCTCCCTCTCTCTCTCTCTTTTTGGTTTTTTGAGACAGGGTCTCACTATGTAGTTGAGACTGACCTGGAACTCACCGTGTAGCCCAGGCTGGTCTCGAACTCACAGCGATCCTCTTGCCTCAGCCTCCCGAGTGCTGGGATGACAGGCGTGCGCCACCACGCTCAGCTAGTTTTCTCTCTTGCAAAATGAGGCTACCCACAGAAGTCAGCTTAGGCTGCTGTGACTGATGAGACAAAATGTGGAGAGTTTAGCTACATGTGTTGCTGTGTTTGTGATCCCAGCTATTTGGGAGGCTGAGGCAGGAGGGTTCCAGATTGAAGCTCAGCCTGGGCAGTGTAGCAGCTCAGTGAGATTCTGTCTTAAAATAAGAAATAAAAAGGGGCACCCAGAAGGTGTGTGTGTCACTGTCCTCCATTGTCCCTTTGTGTATTTGAGCTGCACCATGAATCCTGCAGGACCAAGGCCTGCAACCTCCCACGCTCTCTCTGCTCCTTGGGAGGAAGAGACAGCAAGGCCTGGGGCACTGACCTGTGTTATCAGGCTCTGGTGACCTGGGCAGCGGGGTCTGGTGATCTGGCCTCGGTTCTCACGCAGGAAACGCTAAATATTTACAGTTGCGCCTCTCCGGGACTTGGGGGCAGGGGCTCCACAAAGCCTCTCCTGCTTCTTTCCTGGCCTCTCCTTCCCAGTTCAGAGGCCCTGCCAGACCCTCGGGCTCTGCCTCGCCATCTCAAACCTGTGGTGAACCTCGCGGGATTCGGGGTCTTGGCCGTGAAAGGTGAGTGGATGCGTCGATCTGCTGGTCGGGAGACCCGGCCTCTATCTACTTAGCTCCTCTAGATCAGGCTGGTGGTGAGGCAGCAGCGGGCGTGGTGTACTTTCTGGCCTCCGGGAGCCTGGCCTGGCCTCCTGGGGAGGAAAGGAAAAGACATTGCTGGTCCTGGGAGCTCCCACTTGATGTACAACAGTGGCACCCATGTCCTGCTCCAGCTCTGGAACCTTGTATGGCTCCCACCTGCTTTACAGTAAAACTCTGCGTCTTCCCCAAAGCAAAGACCCTGCACACTGTGCCCCACCTTCCCTCTCTACTCTTGTCTCCTGCTCTTCCTCTCCTTCACTCCATTCCGAGTCACTAAGGGCTGGCTTGAATTTGAGATGCTCCTGCCTCAGCCTCACCAACATGCCCTGCTTCCTGATGGAGTTTTCCAACTAGAGTATCAGACCAAAAAGGTAGAGATTTTTTTTCTGTTTTGGGTACATGTGGATACCCATTACCTGCAAAGCTCCTGGACAGTGTGTGCTAATGGGGACCCCAGGACATGGGCTGCGTACCAGCAGGGTGTTCAGTCACACACACACACACACACACACACGGCAGCCCTCTTCTGATGGCCCTGTGTGCCCAGGAGGAGAGTTATGGACCCCGTGTGGACCTCAAGGATCAGGATGGGAAGACACTTGGATGAGGTCACCTGTGTGAGTGCAGGAGTGACTCGGGTGAGTCACACAGACCTGGGGCCCAGGGGCTTTGGGGACAGGGGAGCCAAGCCCTGGAGACAAAGCTGTGAATAAAAGCCTTGGCTGTAGCCCGGCATGGTGGTGCCTACCTATAACCCCAGCACTTGGGAGGCTGAGGCAGGAGGATTGTGGAAACTTTGAGGTGAGTCCAGTCCGGACTCCATAGTGAGTTCAAGGCTGCCCTGAACTACAAAGCAAGACCTTGTCTCAAAATGAAATAAAAAAAATCAAAAACAAAAACCCAGACTTGGCCTCATGAGCTGATATTTTCATGAGGGGAAGTCAGACCATAAATGAGGTAATTTCAGGGGAATAGGCAAATGTAGAAAGACTAGGATAGGGTCAACTCCTTTTTATTCTCTTTCTTTCTGCTATGGGGGATCAAACTCAGGGCTGCTACATCCCTGGCCCTTTAAAACACTTTTAGATTTATTTATTTATTTATTTTTGGCACTGGGGATTAAACTCAGGACTTTGTGAGTTCGAAGCAGGCGGTGGCACTGCTGAGCTAAATCCCCAGCTAACCTTTTTTTTTTTGTTGTTATTTATTTATTTTTTTGTTGTTGTTATTTTGAGACAGGGTCTCACTATGCACTTAAGACTGACTTGGAACTCACTATGTAACCCAGGCTGCTCTCTTAACTCAGAGAGATCCTCCTGCCTCAGCCTCCTGAGTGCTGGGAGCCAGCTAACCTCCCCCCCCACCCCACCCCCGTACCAGGGATTGAACTTGTGTCCTTGAGCTTTCGAGGCAGGTACCGGAACCACTGAGCTAAATCCCCAGCCCCTCAGCTAACCTTTCTTTAATGTTGAGAGAGGGTCTTGCTAAGTGGCCCAGGCAGGACTCGAACTTGGGATCCTCCCTCCTCACCCTTCGGATGTGGAATTACAGCTGAGCACCACCATATTTGCTTGAGCTTCTACTCTGAATGTAGCGGTCCGTGAGGGATTCTGAGACCTGGGTGAGGACAGGGAGCCCTGTTACAGTGAGGAGTGCCCTGAACCTGGCACTCACCTGTTGTTGTCTGTGGCGTCTGGGAGGTGAGGCCAGCGGGAAGGCGTTCATGGGCCCTGCAGGGGATTTGAGCTTTTCTCTAAGGAAGGCGGGGGCCACAGAGGATTCTGATGTGGAGGCCTGGTTGCCTGCAGGCATCCTCAGGCTGCGGGAGGGGGAAGAGACCGGAGGTGGAGGGCGCTATCTGTGGGAAGGAAATCCAGACGCTCTCTGTGGGAAGGAAATCCAGACGCCGGATGCAGCCGGGCAGGGGGAAGGGCCGCGTAGAGGAATTCAGATCCCAACAGCGGAGCTGCCCCAGGCGTGGCGGGTGGCTGGATCTGACGTGAACAAAGTGCAGACACAATGCGTGGTCTGAGGGGCTCCACTTCTTAGCTCCTTGCCCCTCTCAGCCTCGGCTTTTGGCCTCCTCGATTCTTGCACCGGGAATGGGGAAGCCTCAGGGCCTTTGCACCCGCTGTGCCCCCTGCCTGGGACACTTCTCCGGGGCAGGGACTTTTGTCGGTTTTGTTCCCTATCTCACGCTATCTGTCCCCCGCAGGTGGTCATGGCGGCGCCCCAGCTGCGCGTG